GAGCAGGAAGGCGGCGTGGCTGGGAACAAAGGACTTTAGGATGGCCGCAACACGGGGAAGGACAAAGAACTTAAAGATGGTGACGTAGAGGGGTGGGGGTAGCGGGCTGAGAGAGGTGGGAGACTAAGGTCTTCCAGCAGATCTGAAAGTAAGGAGGACCGGGCAGAGTAGGAGGCTGACAGTCCTTGACTGGAGATCGGGCCGGGGGAACCTGAGTCGCTGAACACTTAGCGTGAAGGTCTGGGCGGGAGCGCAAAGTCCAAGAAGCCTGCACACGCGGGATTTCACCCCACGCTCCGCTCCGGTGGCAATAATTAGTCAAGTCGGTGAGGAGGCCAAAATCGAAAGTTCCCTCAGGGGGCCAGTGAGATTGGTCGTCCAAGGGATACTGAGGCCCGGCCTCAGAGCAAAGGAAGACCAGCTTCCGTTTGGGGACTTCCCGGGACAAACAGAGCAGCCAGATTAGAAATGGGACCCCGCAGCGGGGTCTGAGCCTCTGCTTTCGAGGGCTGGTTCCCCATGTCTGCGCCACTCCCCAACTGATCCCGCTGAGAGGAGCGCCCAGCGTCCCAAGAGCGCCAAGTCAGGGGGGACGGCCTGGGGCCTGGGGTAGGGACGTCTCCCCCGCCGCAGGGCCAGGGGCGGGTATCCCGGATGCCCACAGCGGATGGGCTGGATGCCCCACCTGGACGTAGCTATGATTTCGGACGGACCAGGTGAAACGGAGTTAGGAAGGGAAGCAGACCTGGGGAAACGGAGGGACTCACCGGAAAATAGTCCACGCGGAGGAGAGCAGGCTGAGGTCCCGGGTCGGGGAAGGAGGGGGCGGGGCTGCTGATGGCTGGTTGGGGCCCTGCGCTCAAGCCCCTTCCCGGGTTTTTTGGCACCAAATGTAAGATAAATTTTAACTGAAATAAGCAGGTGATGAGAGGCAACAAAGGGCCAGGCACTTTATTTGAGTGCAACCCCGGGCAAGGCTCACCAGTCTGCACTGGGACAGGCTGGAGAAGTCGGGCTCAGCAGGGCAGGCAGCGAGTTTTTAAAGAAGGCAGGGGGAGGCGGAGCTTAGATTTACAGCGGTGTGAGGATTGGCCAGCCCAAGGCACATTTTTCGGGTTGGGAGGGGGCAGCAGCCCGGGACTTTGGCACATCGTCATCGTCAGTGTCCGGCATGCTCACCCCTCCCTCCAGTGCCTCCAACCTTACATATATGTATCACCTCTTCTTTATCCATTTATCTACTGATGGACACCTATGTTGCTTCCATATCTTAGCTATTGTAAATAGTGCTGCAATAAATATAGGGGTGCATATGTCTTTTTGAATCTGAGAAATTACTCTTTGGGTAAATTCTTAAGAGTTGAATTGCCGGGTCAAATGGTATTTATACTTTTAGTTTTTTGAGGAACCCCCATATTGCTTTGCACAATGGTTGAACTAGCTTACATTCCCACCAGCATTTGTTGTTGTGTTGTTCAGTGCCTGTCTCCTTGCTTATTTTCTGGCTGGTTGATCTGTCCTTTGGAGTGCGTGCAGTGTTGAAGTCTCCTAAAGTGAATGTATTGCATTATATTTCCCCCTTCAATTCTATTAGTATTTGTTTCACATATGTAGGTGATCCTGTGATGGGTGCATATATATTTATAATGGTTATATCCTCTTGTTGGACTGAGCCCTTTATCATTATGTAATGTCCTTCTTTGTCTCTTGTGACTTTCTTTGTTTTGAAGTCTGTTTTGTCTGATACAAGTACTGCAACTCCTGCTTTTTTCTCCCTATTAGTTGCATGAATTATCTTTTCCATCCCTTTATTTTCAGTCTGTGTATGTCCTTGGGTTTGAAGTGAGTCTCTTGTAGGCAGCATATAGATGGGTCTTGTTTTTTTTACCCATTCAGTGACTCTGTGTCTTTTGATTGGTGCATTGAGATCATTTACATTTAGGGTAATTATTGATAAACATGTACTTATTGCCACTGCAGGCTTTAGATTCGTGGTTACCAAAAGTTCAAGGGTAACTTCCTTACTATCTAACCGTCTAACTTAACTCACTTAGTATGCTATTACAAACACAATCTAAAAGTTCTTTTTTTCTCTCTTCTTCATTCTTTATATATTATGTGTCATATTCTGTACTCTTTGTCTACCCTTGACTGACTGAGGATAGTTAATTTAATTTTGCATCTGCTTAACAATTGTTCTACTCTCTTTACTGTGGTTTTATTTCCTCTGGTGACAGCCTATTTAGCCTTAGGAACACTTCCATCTATAGCAGTCCCTCCAAAATACACTGTAGAGATGGTTTGTGGGAGGTAAATTCTCTCAGCTTTTGCTTATCTGAAAATTATTTAATGCCTCCTTCAAATTTAAATGATAATCTTTCTGGGTAGAGTATTTTTGTTTCGAGGCCCTTCTACTACATTGCATCAAATATCTCATGTCACTCCCTTCTGGCATGTACGGTTTCTGCTGAGAAATCTGATGATAGCCTGATGGGTTTTTCTTTGTATGTGATCTTTTTTCTATCTCTGGATGCTTTTAATTGTCTGCCCTTATCCTTGATCTGTGACATCTTAAACCTCCACGGACTGAGAGACTATCTCCTTCCCCAGATTGGAGAAGTTTTCAGCTATTACCTCCTCAATGACACTTTCTGTCCCTTTTTCTCTCTCCTTCTGGTACCCCTATAATGCAAATATTATTCCATTTGGATTGGTCGCACAGTTCTCTCAATATTCTTTCATTCCTAGAGATCCTTTTTTCTCTCTGTGCCTCAGTTTCTTCGTATTCATCTTCTCTAATTTCTATTCCATTTAGCATCTCCTCCACTATATCTACTTTTAAATCCCTCCATTGTATGTTTCATTTCTGATACTGTATTTTGTAATGATTGGATCTCCATCCAGAATTACTCCCTGAGTTCTTGAGTATTTTTCTGTACCTCCATGAGCATGTGTATGATTTTTATTTTGAAATCTCTTTCAGGATGGTTGATGTGTTTGGTTTCATTTGACCCTTTTTCTGGTGTTTGTGGGATTTTGGTTTGAACCAGGTTCCTTTGATGTTTCATATTTGTATGTGGCACCCTCTAGTGTCCAGAAGCTCTACTCTCTGGAGCTGCTCAGACCCTGAAACCATGTTGGGGGTTTCAGGGGTGTGACATTGGTGCCTGGGGGAAGGAAAGAGCTTCTTCCTGCTTCCCAGCTGCTGTGCCTGCCTCAACTGCCAGAGCCAGTGGCCAAGCACACAGGTGTAAGCCTCTATGCTGTGCATTTTTAGCTGCCATAGGCTGGGCTTCTCTCTGGCTGGCCTGACACCAGGGCAGTGGCTGCCAGTTTGTGAGTCAGTGCAGGCTGACATGGAGGAAGGCTCAGCAGGCTGCATATCATGTTGGGAGGCTTTGTAGCTGTGTAACCAGCCAGGGGGGATGAAGTGCCTGAAGCTCCTGAAAGTTCCCAACCTGCTGGGCAGAATGCACCTGTACAATTTTGTCCACTTGTCCTTTCTCCTGAGCAGTAAGCTCTGTGCCATCCTTGCCCCTTTAGCAGCCCTCTCGCTATTAGGAAGTCTCTCAGACTGCCCTTCTTTCTTTTGTCCCAGAGCAGCTGAATGTGGATTCCTGTTTTCCAGAAGCAGCTGGAATCTCAGTCTCTCCAGGTATTCTGCATGTCTTACCTCTCCAATCCCACCAGTCTCCAGAGCACCATGCAATGTAGGTTCGTGCTCCCAGAGCAGATCTCCACGGCTGGGTGTTCAGCAGGCCCAGGCCTCCACTCCCTCCCTGCTCTGTTTCTCTTCCTCCTGCTGGTGAGCTGGGGTGGGGGAAGGGCTTGGGTCCCACCGGGCCACAGCTTTGCCGGGTCACGGCCTGCAGACTACCCTGTTCCGAGAGGTCTGTTCTTTCCCCCAGGTGTATGCAGTTTGGCACAGCCTTCTTTCCTGTTGTTCTCTCAGAATTAGTTGTATTAATTATAATTTTGTATTATATGTGGTTTCAGGAGGAGGTCTGTCTCACCTCCCACACTGCCATCTTTAATCCAGGACACATTTATTTTCTATGGAAATCGAAACCAAGCCAGTGGGATAAACCCCTCAGCCAGCATATGGACCTCTAGGCCTGTGTGGGAGGGAGTGAAGTGGAGGGCAGATGGGTCCCTGGGCCCAACTACGACTGTCTGGCCACAGGTTAGGGCAAGGCCAAGCCTGAGAAGCTGCAGGAAGCAGGAAGTTGGGCCCCAAGGACCCTCCTCTTCTCCTCAGGGGTGTAGTGCTCTGCTGGGCCCCCAGGTGGGCCAGGGGCAGGACAAGGAGGCCCTGAAGCCAAGGCGGCACAGGTGGGATGGGGGAGCCATGGACATAGAGATTGGCTCAGCTGAACAGGCGGCACCTCCCTGGAGCTGCTGGGAAGACCGTGACCAGGCACCCCTCCAGTAGCAGCATTCGCAGGACAGCCCAGAACAGTTTCCCTTCAGAGTGGAGCCAGCTTCTCTATGCCTGTTTCCCCACTCATCAGACTGGGATGTGTATACGAAGCAGTGCACAGTAGGGGCTGGAGGACCAGAAGGGGCAGTAGTTGACGCCTGGCCGGGCTAGTAGAGCTCAGGGAAACCCTTCCATGGAACTGTCTTCACATAAGTAAACACAGACAAAACATGGTTTGGAATTTTTTAAAAACTGTAGTTACATACAGAAAACATCCAACGAGAATGCAGACCACAAAAGTGACATGTAAGTAATTTCCGACAGTGGTAAAAACACCTCTCACTTTGTTCTTTAAAAAATTACTTTTATTGTGTTTGTCAATTTCACTTTGGGCAAGCTGAGGGATGCAGTGCCCATGTTGGAGATGGCAGAGGTGTGCCCCATGTCTGCTGGAGTGGCACTCTCACTCTTCCCGGCCAGGACGCCAAGATGGCACAGAGGCCTGCAGACAGACTACTGGTGTCTTCTAACAACATGAATGGCACATCCCCCAGTAAATCAGTGACACCAGTGACACACTGCAAGTTCTGTAGTGTCAGTTCCCAGCAGTGGCCAAGAGGCACCATACTCTCCCTGGGTGCCTGCTCTACCAGGCTGCAAGGCTCAGCTGTGGAGGTGACTGTCACGGGGCAGGGGCAGTGCTGGGGTTGGTGACCCTGGGATATATCAGCTGTCTTCTTGGGCCCTTCCACGTGGCTGGCCCTAGTACAGCAGAGCCCAGCCCCTCCTGTACCCCATTCCCCATACACAAGGTGGCCGGCCCCCAGACTGAGGAGGCATGTCTGAAGGCGCTCAGTCAACAGTAGTTTGCCCATCATGGCCTCTGGCAGCCACATACCTTCCCCTGAGGCCTCCCACCATGCTCCACCCCAGGAGAGCTGCCAGCGGCTCGCCTCTCTGCTGATACAGTCTCTCACACACACACCCAAACACAGGTGGACCTGGCAAGACCACCCCCGCCTCAGCTCCCCTCCCATGCTCACTTTGAAATCTAAAAACTCTACAGAGAGGGGTCTGTTCTCGAGAGATGCTGAAACGCAGTGCAGTGCCATCCCCAGCACACAGGAGACCCAACATGACTACATGGATGATGTTGTCCTCTGTGCCCAGCAAGCAGGGGGCAGCCCCTGCAGGCAGTGGGACTCACACAAGGGTGTGCCCCAAGGATGTGCTGGGGACTGGGGGGTCTTCCGTGGGCAGCAGGAAAACTAGGTGCAGCACCTTGGGGCCAGGCAGTCAGCCTTGCAGGAGGTGGTGGTCTGTGAGCCCCATGCCCTAGGCTGGGAACAGGAAGCCAGCCTTCTCAGAGCAATTTGGGAGATGTCCTGGGAGAGAGCTGGCTCAGATGGCCACCTCAGCCACCAGGTACGGGGTGAGGCTTGCACTCTATCCTACAGCTCATCTATCTTTCTCAGCCCCAACTTGAGGGCCAGGAGAGGGAGGAGCCCCCAAAGACAGGCCAGGACTGCAGCTCTACACTCGCAGTGCCCAGCTGCGGGGCCTGGACAACACATGACCCGGCCTGTGCACGGGGCAGTGCAGTTGGGGCATGAGTGCAGGGAACAGTTCTTTGGCATTGAAGCAATGGAAAGCTATCACAGAAGAGCTGTGTCCTCAGCAAAGGAAGGGGACTGAGCTCTCCCTTTCCCAGCAGCTCGAGGCCCCCAGGGCCTGCTCACTGCAGCCTCAGGGCCTGGGCAGAGCCCATCTCTGCAGATGAAAAACTACACTGCCCAAGGGCTGACCTTCTAGGCAGGCCCTGGATGCAGACCAGCAGCCATTCCCTGAGAGCAGCATGGGGCAGCCAGCCCACCCAATCCCTCAGCCAGCCAGGCCCGGTCTCCACCAGTGGGTCCCAGAGCTTTCCTCACAGGCTGGGGACACTGCACTTCTTAAGATGATTAAAGACAATAGATTCTCTTGCTAAATTTGCGTAACTTACAGAAGAGCCTATGAAGAGTTTTTTTCCCTGGGAAGAGAGAATTTCACCCTGCATTCCGAAACACCTGCTGAGCCTGGTGGCAGAGTCCTGCCTTCCTGGAGTGGCTGAGGGAGTGCAATGGGGCTGCAGCCAGACCCCCAACTGCCCGCTCTCCTGCCCAGGCCTACGACAGAAGGGACAGTGTCTCCAAGTCTCTCTTGGGGAGGAGGGGTGCATGGGGGTGCAGTAACAGGGACCAGTGGGCTCTGACCCCTAGGCCAAACCAAAGCCCCCATGCTGTCCAGTCACAACCATGCCTTCCCCTCGAACAAAACAGAAAGTAGGAAACAAGGGTGCCTTTTTAATTGCAATTACATATGCTGTCTTAGGTCAGCAAGCTCCCCTGAGCCCCGGCCCAGGGGCCCTGCACAGCCCAGAGCCAGCAGTGTGCCTCACTGCCCAGTACAGGCTGGGGCACGGCTGCTGTGCTTCGACCTGCTGCGTCCCCGAGGGGCTGCCATCTCCTCTGCAGGTGACCCAGCCTCTGGGGCACAGGACAGGGGAGGCGGGCGAGCGCGAAGTGGCAAGTGCTCCCACCTCTGCACTCACATGCAGACTTCGCCAGTGTTTGCTTTCGTTCCTCCTCCTCCTTTGCTAAAACGGTCAGGGAGCACTGCGAGGCCACTGCTGGGCAGGCATGGGCAGCACGGCGGTGCCCCCTACTTCTGTATCTGGAACAGGAAGAGCCGCAGGTTGATGTTCTTGGCGGCCAGCAGCTTGTTGCACTCCACGGAGTCAACGATGGGCAGCGGCACATAGTCCGTCTCGTTGCTCTCGTTGGTGAAGACGAAGTGGTAGATGACGGGGCTGATCTTCACGTCATCATAAGGGCCCTTGAGCAGCAGGAAGGAGCACTCGAGGGGCGCCGTGACCTTGCTCTTGAGGAGAAGCTGGAAGGAGAGGGTGCGCTTGCACGACAGGTTGGGGTTGCGCTCTGAGTCGTTGACGCGTGCCTTCAGGACCCAGGTCTGGTTCAGCACTGTGAACCGCGGCGTCTCGTAGTACAAGCGCGTGATGAAGTCGTCCGTGCGGTACGGCCGGAACTGGACCTCTGTGGAGACAGGCCGGGAAGAGCCAGCAGTCAGTGTGGGCAGGGCCGGGGGGTGGCGCCTTCCCTGCGGCCGAGGACACGGGCTCAGCCGGGAGGAAGGCAACTTACCAGGAGGACACTGCGTGCTCTACTTGTCACAAGGCAAATCAAACGCAATTATGGCAAATGGAGGCGCACACAAGCTTTGGGGAAACAACTACAAACAGAAGTAACACGCATTAGCTGCAGGGAGTCGAGGCTGCGAGGTGGGCGCTAGCCCCGCCCCTGCTGGCCTCCCGCCCCGCCCCCAGGGCCCCGCCCAGGCAGAGAGAGGCCCCACCCCAGGGGCGTTGGGTAAGCAGACACAGACGATGCAGATCTGAGTAACAAGTGTACTTTATTGGTTCCGATACAGAGCTGCTGGAAAGCCGGTGAGCGCCGGGCTAGCACGTGGCACTGGAGCCTGCACGGGACCTCCAGGCGGAGCGGCGGCGTGTGGCCCAGTGCTGGGCTCTGACGGCTGTCTCTGCAGGGCCCACCAGTCAGTGGGTGGCTCTGCCGGTCACACAGTCCTCTCAGCACAGCCTGGGGTCCATGGCCAGCAAGTCCCTCCACAGAGGAGGCCAGTCCTTCCTGCACGGACGGGGCTTCCTGCCCAGCCACCAGTCACAATGCTTTGGCCTGCCGGGACCCTTGAGGCCTGGCCTAGGCTATTTGTGCCACAGCACCCACCAGCGTGGCTGAAGCTGACACTAACCAGAGGCCACGGCCTTCTGCTGCTGAGGCCCTGGGGCCCTCAGCCTCTTGGGCCTGAGCAGGCCCACACCTAGCCAGGCCCAGTCCAGGCAGCATGGTGTGACTGGCTGCCCATGACCGCCCTTGGCACTCTAAGCTGGCCTCCTGGCGTGGGCTGGGTAGTAGAGGGCTGGAGTCTCCCTGAGGCCCCAGCATCAACAGGTGCTTCTCGCTGTTCTGTGTCTGGACCAGGCTCTGGCCTGGCGCCTGCTCCCGAGCATGTCCAAAGGCAGTGGCAGTGGCCAGGAGAGCCCACAAGATGCAGCAGGCCTGGGTGTGGTCCAGCTTGCCCATCCCTGGGCATCCACTCCCAGCTCTGCATTTTGAGCTGGAGACCCTCAGCTCATTCTGGAGCCCTGGCTCTGAGCATCTTCTTGCTGGCCTAGGAGGCCTGTGGCCAGTGCAGTGGCCACCTGCAGGCAGAACCCAACACGGCAAGTACTCTTGCCCCTGCCTCTGCAGGATAGGCCCCCAGCTCCCAGGCTCCCCAAGACACACCCACCTTCTGGTTAGTCCCCAACTGTCCCAAGGCTGTGCAGCCCCACACGGGACAACACCTTGCTAGAATGGGCCAGGGTGGGGAGGACAAGTGGGAGGGGCCTTTGTGAGAGCCATGCAAATGCCCCCAGGGTCCTGCCCCGGTCCCCCCGCTGCTCAGCCCCCTGCCCATCTTCTCCCCCAAGGCATCCTCCCATTTGCCAGGAGCTTGTCCAGAGCCCAGCCATCCGGCGCAGCCTGTACCTGTTGTTCCCCAGACTCCCAGCCATGGGCCCCCCAGCCTATGTGGCATGCAGTGGGTGGCAGGGCACCTCACCTGTGTAGCCGATCTTCTCAAAGCTGAGTAGGCTGAAGATGCTGTTGTAGAGCTGCATCTCCTTGCGGTGGCTCTGGTCCATCTCGTCCAGGATCTCCATCAGCTCGTTTCCTGTCTTGGTCGGGTGAGCACACGCGGACTCATGCACTGTCAGCTCATGGAAGGGGCCATGCCACGGGCAGCCGATACGCTTGTACTTGCACTGGGTCACCCTGGGGCAGAGGCAAGCACCCCAGTCATGGACTGCACTCCAGGGAAGAGGGCTGTGCCCAGCCCTGATTATACAGGAACTACTCTCTGAAGAACATACTTGCTGTGTGCCGGCCTCAAGGAAGGTGTGTGAGATGGAGAGAAAAGCTGCTGCAAATGCACGTGATGCCTACATCCACTGCTATAGGGTCTCTCCTGCTTGGCAACAGGGGCTAGAGACCATAGTCCTGAACTCTGCACAGCTTCACTCCAGATGAGGTGTGGTGGCCAGGCCCCACAGGCAGGCAGCTGTGACCACCAGCTGGGGCTGGGCTGGGATGCCAGTGCAACCTCACATCAAACCCCCAGAGGACCTGGGCTGGCCATGCTTTCCTGGGCCCCAGATGCCAAGGACAGTGTCTTAAGAGGCCACCACTCAGCTACAGAGAACCCTGGAGAGCTAGGGTGATGTTCAGATTCCACTGGGTACAGATCCAAGCCCCCCACCTCTCGTGGGGCCTCCTACCCACCCTGACTCCAGGGTCTGGGCCCTGAGCAGCTTCATGCTGGCCAAGCCCTGCAAGATTATTGCTGGGCTGTGCGAGCAGAACTGGAGCTCAGGCCACGTGTACCAGATAGACAGTCCTGCACACTGGGGCCTCACCCGAACAAGGGTGGCTTCCAGCCCCACCCTGGGCCTCACAGGGGCGGCCAAGCATCCAGCAGGTAGGCAGCCCAGGCAGTTACCTGTCCTGGCACTCCTCTTTCTGGTGCCTCTCCAGGAGGGAGCGGGGAAACTGACGCAGGCAGAAGCCACACTCCGACGGCAGCTCACTCACAGCTTTCTCCACAGCCAGGTTGCGGCAGCAGAGGCTCTTACTGATCTCGCAACGACAGTTGGGGCACGTGGCTTGCTCCTCCTTCAGCCGGGCATCTGCTAGTAGGTGGATAAAACAGCCAGCGCACATCAAGTGACCGTTAGTACACTGCGAAGAAGGAAAGGGAGATGAAGCTCACAGATCTGCGGGACTTGCACACACGCACGTGCCTGCCTGCCTTGCTGGCTCCAGTTCAGGCCAGGTTGGCCGTCTCGAGGGGCTCCAGCTGTAGGAGGGGAGGGTGCCAGCAAAGAGGGACAGGCGTGCTAGTGTTTGAGGGTCACTGCTCAGGAGATGGGCCTTTTCCCCAGAGCACTGCAAAGACAGCCAACTGGGTTCCTGTGAAGAGGTGGGCATCTTGAAAGTGGCCCTCGGTGGTGCAGAGGTTACAGATCTTCACTGAAGGAGGCCCACTGGCAGTGACTGCTTAGGCCACACTGGGGCTTGGAGCCTGGCCTTTTCTTGTCCCAGGGGCCAGGGACTATCCCAGAAGTCCTCTACAGGGCCTGACCTCATGATGCCTTTAGGATTACAGGTGTTTGACTGAGGCATTGCACTGAGCCAGCAGCTGTGCAGTGGGGCAGTTGCTACTGCTGCCCTGTGCTGAGGCAGGTGCATCCTCTTCCTGGCTTTCAGAAGGGCCATACATGCTGGGAGTTGGGGGCCTGGCTCAGATCGACCCTGGTCCAGCCCCTCCATTCCAGCTTTCCTTGGCCAGCACAAACGAGAAGGCAGCTGCCAACCACCAGTGAGGCTGGAGTCTCCAAAATCTGCTCGCACAGAGCTGTGGAAGGTGGGGAAGTCAAGCTGGTCCAGGACAAGGGTGCACTGACATTATGTGGCTGGGGGAGGCAGGCTCAGGGGCTGCAGGCCAGCCATGTTGCTGAGTTGGGTCACTAAGAGCCATGTCCTCTCCGTTTCTGAACCTGAAGATCTTAAGTCAAGATGCTGCCCATCAGCAACCTGCCTCTCCCACTGGGGGAGGTTCTTGCACCTGCAGAAGGTGGGCTGCCAGCTCAACTCCTATCTTGGGTCTCTCGCTGGTTCTATACACCCCCCTTATAGCACTCACTTGGTGCCCTTGATGGGCTGTGCATCTGGCCCTCCAGGGGCTCAAAGTGTTGGGAGAGGAGAGGCCTACACAGGAACCCAGAGGAATGACAGCAAAGACAAGCTGTCTCCTCGAGTCAGACAGAGGTTCCCAAGCCTGGCCCACATGGCAGGGGCAAATGAGGTGGTGAGGAGGGGCAGGTGCAGTGGTCCCAGAGCCCATGGAATCTTAGGGGCAAGTGGAGGGCCTAGGATGGCTTTGCATGCAGGGCTTGCCAACAGCTAACTGGATTCCCATTTGGACACACTCTCCCATAGCCTAGTGAGTGGGCGGGTAGGGCTTTCACAGTCACAGTCGCCTCCAGTGGCTAGCCTGGGCTTGCCAGCCATGGGAAATGTCCAGAAAGCATTGGGCCGCAGACTTCCATTGTGGTCCAGGACCCTTTGAGGGTGGGATGCAGAGGCTGGCTCAGTCTCCCAGGCTCACTGCCTGGCCATGCCTGTTGGGGCCTCCTACCCACCCTGACTCCAGGGTCTGGGCCCTGAGCAGCTTCATGCTGGCCAAGCCCTGCAAGATTATTGCTGGGCTGTGCGAGCAGAACTGGAGCTCAGGCCACGTGTACCAGATAGACAGTCCTGCACACTGGGGCCTCACCCGAACAAGGGTGGCTTCCAGCCCCACCCTGGGCCTCACAGGGGCAGCCAAGCATCCAGCAGGTAGGCAGCCCAGGCAGTTACCTGTCCTGGCACTCCTCTTTCTGGTGCCTCTCCAGGAGGGAGCGGGGAAACTGACGCAGGCAGAAGCCACACTCCGACGGCAGCTCACTCACAGCTTTCTCCACAGCCAGGTTGCGGCAGCAGAGGCTCTTACTGATCTCGCAACGACAGTTGGGGCACGTGGCTTGCTCCTCCTTCAGCCGGGCATCTGCTAGTAGGTGGATAAAACAGCCAGCGCACATCAAGTGACCGTTAGTACACTGCGAAGAAGGAAAGGGAGATGAAGCTCACAGATCTGCGGGACTTGCACACACGCACGTGCCTGCCTGCCTTGCTGGCTCCAGTTCAGGCCAGGTTGGCCGTCTCGAGGGGCTCCAGCTGTAGGAGGGGAGGGTGCCAGCAAAGAGGGACAGGCGTGCTAGTGTTTGAGGGTCACTGCTCAGGAGATGGGCCTTTTCCCCAGAGCACTGCAAAGACAGCCAACTGGGTTCCTGTGAAGAGGTGGGCATCTTGAAAGTGGCCCTCGGTGGTGCAGAGGTTACAGATCTTCACTGAAGGAGGCCCACTGGCAGTGACTGCTTAGGCCACACTGGGGCTTGGAGCCTGGCCTTTTCTTGTCCCAGGGGCCAGGGACTATCCCAGAAGTCCTCTACAGGGCCTGACCTCATGATGCCTTTAGGATTACAGGTGTTTGACTGAGGCATTGCACTGAGCCAGCAGCTGTGCAGTGGGGCAGTTGCTACTGCTGCCCTGTGCTGAGGCAGGTGCATCCTCTTCCTGGCTTTCAGAAGGGCCATACATGCTGGGAGTTGGGGGCCTGGCTCAGATCGACCCTGGTCCAGCCCCTCCATTCCAGCTTTCCTTGGCCAGCACAAACGAGAAGGCAGCTGCCAACCACCAGTGAGGCTGGAGTCTCCAAAATCTGCTCGCACAGAGCTGTGGAAGGTGGGGAAGTCAAGCTGGTCCAGGACAAGGGTGCACTGACATTATGTGGCTGGGGGAGGCAGGCTCAGGGGCTGCAGGCCAGCCATGTTGCTGAGTTGGGTCACTAAGAGCCATGTCCTCTCCGTTTCTGAACCTGAAGATCTTAAGTCAAGATGCTGCCCATCAGCAACCTGCCTCTCCCACTGGGGGAGGTTCTTGCACCTGCAGAAGGTGGGCTGCCAGCTCAACTCCTATCTTGGGTCTCTCGCTGGTTCTATACACCCCCCTTATAGCACTCACTTGGTGCCCTTGATGGGCTGTGCATCTGGCCCTCCAGGGGCTCAAAGTGTTGGGAGAGGAGAGGCCTACACAGGAACCCAGAGGAATGACAGCAAAGACAAGCTGTCTCCTCGAGTCAGACAGAGGTTCCCAAGCCTGGCCCACATGGCAGGGGCAAATGAGGTGGTGAGGAGGGGCAGGTGCAGTGGTCCCAGAGCCCATGGAATCTTAGGGGCAAGTGGAGGGCCTAGGATGGCTTTGCATGCAGGGCTTGCCAACAGCTAACTGGATTCCCATTTGGACACACTCTCCCATAGCCTAGTGAGTGGGCGGGTAGGGCTTTCACAGTCACAGTCGCCTCCAGTGGCTAGCCTGGGCTTGCCAGCCATGGGAAATGTCCAGAAAGCATTGGGCCGCAGACTTCCATTGTGGTCCAGGACCCTTTGAGGGTGGGATGCAGAGGCTGGCTCAGTCTCCCAGGCTCACTGCCTGGCCATGCCTGTAACACGCTGGGTCCTTAGAAAAGCCAGCTTCCATCCTATCACTTCAGGAGTCTGGGCATCCTGGGCTGAGGAGCTGTGGGAGGCTGAGTGCGCTCTTCATTCCCATGAACCAGGCCTGAGGTCTGGTGAGTGATGGGATCTATGTGCTGAGGACCAACAGTGGGGGTGGGAATCGGGGACAAAAGCTTCATCCATGGAATCCATGGAATCCATGTCCACACACACACACCAGAATACCTGCACTCAAATATCAACTAAGTCACGTCAAAAGTTATGGCGTGCAAGATGAAGGGGGGCTGGCTGGGATCAGGCTTGGAGGCACAGGACCTGGCAGGGAGGGGCAGGCCAGCACCAGCTCAGTACTGGCTGGGCATGGGGAGTGAGCCTGGTCCCAGGATGGGTCAGGATGAGCTGAAGCCTGCCCAGATGGAGAAGAGTGGAAAAGAGCAAGTCCTCTCCACCTTCCAGGGATCAGTAGAGAAGCCAGAAATACAGTGAGGGAAGGCAGGGGGCACAGTTGAGATGGGTGCTGCACCCCATGGGAGGCACAGACCAGGGTCTGAGGGCACACCTCCAATCACAGCCTCCTCAAGGGCCTGAGCCTGTCAGAGGCCCAACTTCATCATACCACGGCCCCAGTGAGAGATCACAGCTTCCAGAGAGCTGGGAGGGAAGCAGCATATGCTGGCCTGACTGCTTGTTCACGGGGCGGGATAGACGCTCAGGGTGCTGAAGCCAGGCCAAACTGTGCAGCAGCATCACACTTGGTAAAGCCCTCACTGCTGCCCAGCACCACCAGTGAGGAGGCCCCTGGGCCACTGTGTGTGCACATCTGTACTTCCAGAGGCCTCCACGTGAGGGGCTGCCTGGGCAGGCCCAGCTCGCAGTCTCCCCCAGGCCCAATGGGCTACACAGAGCAGCCACAGCACTCCACTAGGTCCCGACCAGTGGAACTTCCTTTCTGTCTCTGGCGGACCTAGCCGGGAGTGTGGGCCTGAGGGTGAGAGGCTCGAGATGGAGCCTGGGATCTCCTGAAGGGCACCAAGGCAGCTAAGTGTGTGACTGACCTCCCAGCACCTCCCGGAAAGCCCACTGCCATACAGCAGAGGGGTGACCTACAGCCTCTCCTAGTGGGCCTCTCCTTAGAGCCCGGGGCTGCAGGAACACCTAAGCTCCCAGGGAGGCTCTTGGTCTCAGAGCCTCCAGACCCAACCCAGGCTCAGGTGAGTTACAGTACCATGGGGAGGTGGTGCTAACCCTACCCTGCCCTGGGCCTTGGAGGGAAGCCTGCAAGATCTGGGGAGAAGTGGGTCACTGCCCAACAGCTCAACTTGACTCAGAACTCACTGAGCCAGCAAAATGCTCCAGAGCACTGCTGGCCTGGCCAGGGAGAAGGTGATGTCCCCAAGGGACATTCTCTGGGTGGATACCAGGTGGGTGGCCCAGGCCCAGCCTACACCCAGCCCTGGAAGTCTGTCCAAACAGGGCAGTCACTATGCAAAAGCCCTCCCCACCATTCAGGTCCCCTTGGCCTCCCAAGCAAGATCCTGACTCCTGGTCGCAGGGCAGCATAAACAGCCTCCCCATGACCAGGTTAGACTGCACCTGCCCCAGTTGGCCTGCCCAGAATCCAGACCCCAGAGGACTCCGAACAGAGCTGGCTGCATATTGAGCCTCCGAGGAACAGTACCAGCTAGGGCAGGTGAGAATGGCCCACTCGACAGGCTTGGGCCAAGCTCCCAAGAACCTGGGCACCCCAAAAAACAGCTCCTGCAGTGCCCAGGCCAGGCTGCCCTCCAATCACCTGCCAGGAATACCCTGGTGGAAGGAAGGGGTAAGGAGAGGGCCCCACAACTGGGATGGCATTACAGGGCCTCTCCAGGGATAGATACTGGCTTAGACCTTGGCCCACAGGTTACCAGCAGCATGACCTTTGGCTGGTCACTTCACTCTCTAGGCCTCAGTTTCCTCAGGCACAAAGGGCAGTAACAGGACTGGCCTCATGGTGTGCTAAAGAGATGGGAGGGACAACACATAGGGTACTGTGCCTCAGCCCCCAGCACATGGTGGACACAGGAAATGCCTGCCAAGTGGTCAATGCAAGGCAGAGTCTGGCTGGCCCCTCAAAGGGCCCCTGCCTGTAATTTTAGCAAAAGCACCTCCCTCATCCCTGGGGTCCCCAGCTGGACCCAGGTAGTGGCCCATCCCAAGTCCTTCTTCAGGTGGCCCAGCAGTGAGCATTTGCACCTGCTGCCATTGCCCAACAGCCCCTCCCTCTGCCCAGTCACAGGCAGCTCCCCTGCACCCTGGCTGCACACGCCTGGGGCCCCCAGCTGAGCCAGGCTCTCTCCTGGGCTGAGGGGGAACTGAATGGACTGTCCAAACTCACAAGCAGGAGCTCTGATCTCCAGGCCTTGGGCTGTAAGCAGGTGTTAGAAAATGCCCCCTCCAAACATCTGAGAGGCAAGCCTTGGCCAGTAAGACTTACAGGCCCTTTTTCAAGCCTGGAATGCACAGTCCCCTCAAACTCTCAGGTTACCCCATACTCCACTCTTTCCCAGTCAGAGGTCTCCCCTCACCAGGCCCAGCAGAACCTCAGGGCACCCCACAACCTTGCACGTTCAGCCTTAAGCCTGCTTAACAGAGGCCTGGAAGGAATCACACAGTGTCCAAGGCACACAGCTATTTCAGGTGAGGTCAGGACTCCAACCTTCCACCAGGTTTCAGGTTTGAAGTCCTGGGCCAGTGGCTCCTGATATCATGCCAACCTCAAAGCCAAGACTTGAGTGGGAACTAGTCAGTCTCCACTAGTTCCCACTCCTGACCGGAGGGTCAGGCTGTTGCTCAAAACCTAAATGGTGCCTGAATGAAGTAAGTCAGATGACAAACTACAACCACGAAACCGTAACTTCTTACCCAGCTGCCCAGATACTTTCTCCTCCCTCTGCCCTTATTTTGGACTCCTAAGCAGAATATTTTCAAAGCTCTTTTTTGCTACCTTTCTCACCTCAGAGCACAAGCCAGCAGTCCAGGAGCAGGGCAAGGTGGTCGGTCACAGGCCATTTGGGTGGGTGGCCCCATTGAGGATTCCTTAAACATTCTGAACAGAGCCTGCAGCACCAGACATGCTGACAGCCACTGAGACAGAGGGCTTGGAGGCTCCTCAAGGCCCATGTCCACACTGGCCTGGGCCCAGGCAGAGACGCAGCCACCCCTGCTTCCTGGACCTTTTACCAATTTGACTGCCAATCAGGTAACCAGTCCCCATGAGCCAGGGCCTAAGCTGAATCCTGGCAGAGACAGGAGACCTTCCTGGGGGGTGGTGAGGAGGCGGGGGAGGTACAGCAAGACACAACCACCCCTTCTGCAGGGAAGACTTTGGCAAATGCCCTAGTCAGGTGAGGAGGGATCGACACCTGTAGGGTGGATAGAAGATGGGTACAGCAGGCACCGCCTTGGTGTGGTCCTTGAGGCGGAGGGAGGGCAAAGCAGGGGAGCATGCACTCAGGTGGAAGGGGCACTGGGGTAACAGGCTAGAGGAGCTGGGTTGCTGCCAACAGGGCCCAGGTGGCCAGTTGGGGCCCCATCCTGTGACAGAGAACCCCTAACTACTACTTTACCCTGATGGGGGTCACAGGGAACTCTTCTGGCTGAGAGCCCAGTAAGGGCGGGAACACTGCACAGCCCCTCTTCCCAGACGGTAGTCACGGCTCTGGGTCTCAGCTGATGCAGTAAGGTCAAGGCTAGGTCCGTCTTAGGGGGTACACGTTGGGCTTCGTGTGAACAGCTGAGGGACAGCCCAGGAGGGAGGTCAAGGATCACAGCTCCAGGAAACACCAAGGCTGTTTCCCCAGAATAGGTACTACTGTGGGCAGAGGGGCAGTGTCACAATGCCCTGGGGCTACAGGGCTGCTTCCAGCGCAGGTACCCACAGGTGCTGCATGTCACCCACTCATGCACAGATGTCCCTGCTGCATCCCCAGCCCCGTCCCCACCTTGGAGCCTGCTCAAGACTCTGGAAGGTGACAGCACACCTTGTCAGGTACCAATCACCAAGAACACACCTAGCACCCACACAGAGAACACTGAATCTGCCGTCTCTCTACCTGTTCTGGCCCTGACCTGACCTAACGCAGGCCATGGAGAAAGCCATGTGCATGAGTGCCTTGGTCTGACACTGGAACAAGTTTCCCAAGCAAGGGTGTGAAGTGAAGGGTGGGGTAGCCAGACCTATTCGTCATGGTCTGACTCGGGGGCAGGCAGATAACCCCATGGTGCGGTCCATGATTGCTCAAGATGTACCCTCACTATCACCAAGGCTTCCCTGGCAGCACTGAGGTAGGGTCCAGTGGCTGGAGAGCGAGCTCTCAAGTCACCATGTACCCAGCCAACCCCAGAGGCCCATGGAGTTGTCCTCTGCAGCCCCAGTGCCAGGCATAGCACATAGGCCTCAGCATGGCACCTATTCTCATCACCCCAGAACTGGGCACCATCTGAGACAGACCACAGATGCAAGGTGTGGCTGGTGCCTGTCCCAGTCATGTGTTCTGGTAGATTCAGGGAAAATGTCAGTAGGATCAGAGAGCAGAACACACCATATGCCACTAGCCCACAGAAGACAGTGAGTCAACACAGCTCACCAAAAGTGGCCAGCAGAAGCAGAGGGGCTGAGAATAGGCCAAGAGGTGATGGCCACCGGTGGGCCCCAACCAGGGACACAAAAGGTGTCTATGCCTGTTTCCAGGCAGTGCATATGGGGCCATGCCATCTGTGACCAGACTCTCATGGGGACAAACCCAGCTCTGATGCCCACCAGGCAATGGCTAGGCCTCCGATCCCTGCCCTCAATGTCCCCATCCAGGGTTGCTGTGAGGGTGAAGCAGGACACGGAACACAGCAGAGAGCTACCAAGAAGCCTTCCCTCCTTCCGCAGGCCCCTCATTCCCTAGCCTCAGCATGGGCATTGCTGTGCAACCATGCGCCCACACCTCTCCATCCATGGCAGGTCTAGAAGCCAAAGTGAGTTCTGACCTGTGGCAGGGCTCTAGTCAACCCTTCTAGAGCCAAGGGTTCTTCCACTGATCACATATTCTAGAGCTTTCTCCAGGCCTCTCTACATGAGAGAGAAAACAACTCCTTACCAAGGCCCAGCTGTCACTTGAGAAGAATGGAGACAGGGCGGGAGGCCAGGGGTCAGCATCAGTGGGTTCTCCTTGCTTAGTGGGCCTGTTCCCAGGGCAGCCACTGAGCAGAGCCCACCAGGCTGAGGGAAGGGCTAGGGCCAGGGAGGCCCCAGAGCCTTCACCTCACTCCCCATCACAGCTGCTCAGCTGCCTCTGGCCTGCCCTGGACAGAGCCCTGCGCCCAACATAGTGTGGGCCGGTTTGAACCAGCCAGGCTTGGCGACTGGGTCACCAGCAGCTCTGGCCAGAGGCAGAGCAGCAGTTCTCATGCTGAGTGGCCAGAATCCAGCACCACTGTGGCTGATCATGACGTCGGGTTTAGCTCCAGACAACTAACAGGAGGGTAGATGAGGAGACCCCCCCGAATTCCCCTGGCACTTCCCCACCATTGGCTTGGCTTCTTGGGTTCTTGTTCAAGGCCCAAGAAAAGATGAGCTCTTCTACCTGGTTGTGGGCAACAAAAAAAGGGCCAAAGGACAAGTCCTGAAGGGCACCCCGAAATCTGAGGGGGTTATGAGAAGCAATCTCCAGTTGGCACTGGGCAAGGAGATCTGCAGTATTTCTGAGCTTGGGCCTCTAGCCAGGACCTTCCCAAAGTCTAGGAGGGTAGGTTGAGAGCCAGTGCCCTTTCCCCAAAGAACTCAGCCCTCTTCCCTGCCAATGCCTTTCCTTCCCTCTCTCTGTCACCTGGGCATACTAGGAACCACCCAAACAGTCTCACTCCCGCGCAGGAAGGATTTGAAGATCCAAGGTGTGAGGAAATGGCAACCCAGGCTAACCCCGCACTGCTTATGACAAAAATGACAGCCTCACCCATGGCCCCCAGTTTGAGAAGCAGGGGGAAAAAGCCCCACCAGCCAAGTCCCATTCCTGTAAGTGCAAAGAAAGGTAATAAAGAATCTGTCTCATTCCTCAAAGGGGCTCTTGGGGGAGGAGGATCAGAGGAGGGAGGGTTGAGGTGGAGAAAGGCAGAGAGACAAAGGAGAAAGCAGGACACTACACACTGCCTCTCGGGCTACAGCGTGACCCGGTCGCTGCGCGGTCCGCATGTAAGACCCATCTGGGCCAGGTACCCTCTCTAATCGTCCTGAACTGGTTACGGGCACTGGGTCCAACCACCATGCTAGACCTTCAGATGGGAGGACGGCGGACAGGCCTCCTGGCGCACTGGTGGCCTAGGAAGCGGGTCTGGTGTGGGTGAGGGGTGAGGCGGGAGCCTAGGCTGGGGAACAGCATGTCCAGAGGCCTGGGTTTGGACTGGCGCTGGAGAAGAGACCCAGACTGTAGCCTGGTGTGGGCAGTTCATCCAGACCAGAAACGAGGGGAAGGCATAGCGATTCTTCTACTCAGAAGAGGGGGCATGAGGACATGTGTGTGCGTGGGGGGGGTGGGGGGTGGGCTGCCAAAAGGGTAGAAAAGGAGCTCTTTAGTGAAATACCAGGGTTCCCGGGGCTCAGGAATGAGGGGAGCAAGTTCTGCGATGGGGTCGGAGGAAAAGGGCATCTGTCACTAGTTTTCTCTGCGGTCAGCGGGAGACGGTGGCACGGGGAGTGCAGAAGGGGCAACGAAGGAAGCTGAAGAGAAGAAACATCTAAGCGGGAAATAACAATTCAGACAGAAAAACAGCACAAGTAAGATGTTGTAAGCATTAAATAAAATCCTGACAGGAGAATAAGGACTTTCGGAACGGGCGCCGGACTCCCTACCGCTGGGCCCGAGGCTCGGGGCTCTGGCCTGGCCTCCGAGGAGACGCGGTGAACGGGGGGCCGGCCGCGGCGGGGCTGGAGCCGGGCCGGGTCGGGGTCGGGCCGGCGGCCCTACCTGGTACACGGAGGCCTTGGGCAGGTCCAGGCAGACGGTGCAGCACAGCACCGAGTAGAGCCGCTCCTCCAGCTTCCCGCTGCCCGCCGCTGCCGCCGCCGCCTCGGCCGCCTCGGCCGCCCGCAGCCGCTTCTTGGGCGGCGCGTCGGGGTCGCCGGCCGCCTCCTGCAGCTGCCGGACGCCGGCCAGGCCCGCCTCGTCCGGGAGCCCGGGCCCCGCCGCCTCGCCCAGCGCCGCCGCCGCTGGTCCCGCGGCCGCCCCGACCCCGACCCCGACCCCGACCCCGGCCGGCACGGCGCCGGCGGGCCCCGCGGCCGGGACTCCCCCGCCGGCCTCCTCGGCGCCGGACATCACAGCCGGCCGGCCTGGCGGGCAGATGCCGGCACGCTCCCGCGGCTGGAAGTTAGGGGCACCGCCGCGCGCTCCCACCGCCCTCTCGCTGCCGCCGCGACCCCACAGCCCCGCTCCCAAGCTGCCGCCTCAGTTGGTCCAGCCCGAAAGTCGCCCCACAGCCGCTGAGGGCACCGACCCCGGCACGGCCGCCATCTTTGTTTTCTCTGCGTGCTCCCACCTCCCATTGCCCCGCCCCCTTTCTTCCAGTCACGTGAGCTGCGAGGGGCCAATGGGAACACCCCTCAGGATAAGACGTATCAGAGGTCAGACCCAATGGGTGCGCGAAGGCGCCTGAAAGCCCGCCCCTGCAGAAAGTGGGCAGGAAGGGGCGGGCCCAGGGCACCCCGCCGCGTGTCGTTGCGGGGCGCGCCTTGGAGCGGGGAAGTTCTGGCTACTGGGTGAGCGCGTTGCTTCCGGTGGGTATAGGGCGTGGCCCGCAAGCCTCGAGTCACCGGGGACAGGAGTCAACAGTGGATTCCCACGTTGGAATACCTGTGCCTGTAGCTGGACACTCGGGCTTGGGTCGCGAAGCTCCGAGAAGCCGTGCCTGCCATCCCTCCTCTCCCTGTTGGGTAGGACCATATCGCTTCCTTAAGACTAGCACAGGGACTCCCCAAAGGAGGACCACGGATCCTGACTAGCCCACTGCTCTGCCCAATCCTATTTCCTAACCTTGGAATTGGGAGGTGAAGAGATGTCCATTGAGGAAACTGACGGTCTTAAGGCCTTGCCTTGCACAGGCGGGAGGGCAAAAGGTAGTGGTCAGGTCGGCACTGGGGTGAGGATGTGAATTTCTGGGAACAGCTCTGGTATGGCCCTCTTCTGCCCCCACCCGCAGGCAGCACCCCCTGAAGATCACTGCCCCAGAAAGCCACCTGCCAGGCCATACAAATTCCACCATGTTCCAGGAGAGCAAGGCTCCAGGACTATCCCTTCTCAGTCCAGGGGCCTTCCTGGCAAGGTTACCAGCAGGAAGCCAAGCTGGGTGAGACCCTGAGCTGGTTCTAACACATCCTCTTTCTTTGTTCAAGGAAACCAGCTGCTGCCCTGGGAACCTTAGGAAGCTCACAGGAGAACCCAATCACTCTCAAGAATGGGCAGATTCCACATTCCCGTTGAATCCCTAAGCTTTATTGGAGGCCAAGCCTCTGGATCCGCAACCATGGCCTGCCCAGAATCAGTCCCCAATGTGCCTGGGACCTTGTCCCCTTCATTCTGGTCTAGGCCAAGTTCCCACACTCACCCAGAGGAAGGGCAGTGCCCATCCAGTCACCCTGCAGCAAGCCCACTTTGGGAGGTAGCAGAGTGTATCTTTAGGGAAGGAGGCCTCAGGAGCAGACCTGTGGGAGGGGGAGGTGGTAGCCAGGACAGAGCCCTGCTTTGCTGTCTCTGACCATCACTCCCACTGCAGGCGCTGTGTGTGCAGGGCTTGGTGGTAGGCCCAACTGCCGGCGGCCAGGGCCCAGCAACAGACATCCTCCTTTGGCAGCAGCAGGAACTTGTCCTCCTCCAGCCGGCTTAGAAGGCCTGCAGCACCCAGCATCGCACCCCCCCACATTCCATAAGTGTTGGTAGTGAAAACGGCCACAATGAGGATGGTCACTGCGACCACCAGTACTACTGCCTGACCAGCTACAGAGCGGCCCTCGGCACCCAGGTGGTCACCAGCCACTGCCAGCACCATGCCTCCTCCCAGGAGTAGGTTGGCTGAGGAGCTGTCCCCATTCACCCAATGGAAATCGAAGGCTAGAAGAGGCAGGCCGATGACAGTGGCCACCCAGACTGCAGCAAGACAGTTTTCATCTGTGGCCAGCCCTGGGGCCAGCATGGTGGCTGCGGCCAAAGCCTGTAGCAGGAAGCCAGCAGCAGCCCCTCGACTTGTCTGTCAGGGGAAAGGAAGAGATGTAGTTAAAAGAGGCCTAGAACCTGCCTTTAAGCAGGGATGGTTCTGGTGGTCTCACAGAATCCTGACCCCAAACACATCTCCCACCACCCTCTCTCTGATCTAGGACACTGGCTAGGTCCTTGGGGTTTGGGAGTGGGATACACCCCTGCCCGGCCCCGGGGTACTCACCTGGACAGTGCTCAAGGCTGCATGCAGAGACACCACTCCCAGCACCAGGTGAGAGAGGGCTGTGCTCCACTCACTCCACAGTTTGGGAGCCATGGTACCTCGGGGGCTTAGTGAACGTGGTGACCGAAAGGGGATCCTCAACTTTGGAAAGGAAGAAAAAACGCAGAAGCTAGCAACCTGGAGCCCTAAGGGTAGCTTTCTGGGATTCCCACGTTCCAGAGCTCCATTGCTTCCATTTCTGAGTGTTCGGATAGGCTCATTCGAAACTTCCCGGAGCTCTCAGGCCACTGGACTCAACTATGCGTAAGAAAAACTTAATTCGTCCGGGAAAAGAAGGGAGAAAGCGGCGCGGGGCCTGGGCTGGGTGGTCGTGAAGCCCTGAGGCCCTGGAACCCAAGTCTGGCGCGAGGCATGGGGGAGATGGGCACAGGGTGCGCGGAGGGCCCTCAGCCTGGTCCCTTTGCTAGGGAAGGCGCTGTCCTCGGAAGCCGCCTAGGATGATGCGCCTGGACCCTCCCGAAGGCCGAACTGCGCGACCCCGACGCAGCGCAAGCAGGAGGCCCGAGTCCGGCCCCGCGCCGCCTCCCGCCCAGCCCCGCCACGGCGCGGAACAACGAGAGGAGCGGAGGCTAGAGCGGCCGGGGCGGGGCCTGGTTGGAAGGCGCTCTGAGAGTGGAGTTGAGATCGTTAGAGAGGAGGCGTGTCGGGAGGCGGGGCCTCTGTCCGAGGACCGGGTCGAGTTTTTTCAGGGGTTTGGAGGAGTGTGTGGTGAGGGGTGGGGTTGTGGCTCCGAGGAAAGCGCTGAGGGAAGGGGCCAGAAGTAGCGTTTGGCTGTAAGGGGTGGACCCTGGGGCGGGGCTGTGAGGGGAGGGCCCGGGGAGGTGCCTATTACGGGAGGGGCATTGCACATCCCTGGGTGGACGGCAATGAGGGGTGAGAACCACGGAGGCCGGAGAAGAGGGCTGAGGGGTTCCTAGGAGTGGGGTGCGGCGACCGTGGGCGCCTTCATCAGGGGTCTCCGTGAAGTAGGGGTGAAGTCGCGGGGCGGGTGTCCAGGTGCGGCGCCGGGCATGCCAGTCTCAAGCACTCCTCTGGCGCGCGTGCCTTCCGCCCGCGGGAACCTGACCGTGGGGGCGGCCGCCCCGAGCATGCGCACCGGCTCTGCGACGGGCGCGGGGACGTGGGGCGGCGCGTAGCGGGGCCTTCTGCCGCCCCGCGCTCCCATGTACGCCTTCTACTCGCTGCTCATTTACATCTTCTACAGCCTCTTCCGCAGGGATGGCGGGGCTGTGGCGGCCGCTGACCCTGGGGACCCCGCCCAGGTGAGCGGAGGCGGGCGTAGCACGGCCGGCGAGCCCCTCCCTTGAGCGAATCCTGCAGGCCCGCGCTGCGTACGTCCCCAGGGCGCTGACTCTGGGGAGAGGGGCTGTGCATGAGGATCCCGTCTCTGTTCTGGTGTTGGAGGCAGAGACCTCAGCCCCAATCCTTTTGACCCATTCCCAGGGGGAAGGAGCTTCACAGGCTGCCTGCCTTCTCCTCAGGAGCCCCCCCTGTTCCCTTCCTAGAGCACCCGCTGCAAGCCCGGGGGTCGCCGCCGCCCCGAGCAGCCCGCGGCAGAACTGTGGACCAAGCTGACTAGCCTGGTCGGTAGGTGCTGTTGTGTCAGGAGCGATGCTTCCCCGGGGCCACGAGGGAACCCTGCCGTCCGAAAGGAGGGAGGGACCCGGCAGGTGTCTTCTGGTGGCCTAGCCTCCAACACGTGACCCGTGCGCCTGCCCCCCACCACTTGGCCTCACAGGCTGCCCCGAATCTGAGGATGGGCCCGGAGGGGGAGCCGAGGGCCGCCCAGCCGGGGTCACCCTGGAGGAAGCTCTGGTGCGTCTTGCTGAGTTCCTCTCAGTCCAGCTGGGGGCGGAAGAGAGCTTAGAGAGTCCTCCCGATCTGAGCAAGGTGAGCAGGCTGAGGTTCCTTGTCCGGCAGTCCTGGTCTCCGCGTCCGTGTGCCCTCCTTAGCCTCCTCTGCCCTGATTCTCATCTGCTTTACAGTCTGGTGATGTTCCCCCACTGCTGACCGTGACGGGTCAGCTCTTGGCCCTCTTGGCATGGATTCGGAGTCCGAGGGGGAGGCAGGCAGCCTTGAGGGTGCAGACCCCCGCTGCCACTGGTGCGTAAGGTGTATTTGGGGAGGGAGTGAAATTCCCCAGATTCTCAGCGATCTGGAGTGCCAGGCCTCAAGCCCAGCCGTGCCCCCAAGGTGCCCCCTTTTTAGGCTGGACTTTGTCAGTGCTAACTAGGTCTGTCCCACCCTAGGACTTTCATCCCAAGAAGAAAGCCCTTCCTTTTCACTGATGGATGAGGCCCAGGGGCAGCAGCCCCTCCAGTTGGAGGAGGACCAGAGGGCTTGGCAGAGGCTGGAGCAGCTCATCCTTGGACAGGTGAGGAGCTCTACAGGCCGCAGACTCTAGGATGGCACTGGAGAGGTGCTCCACTGTGCCCCTCCCTCCTTTCCAGATGGAAGAGCTGAAGCAGCAGCTAGAAGTGCAGGAGGAGGAGCTGGGCCGACTGCGCCTTGGTGTGGTGAGGCCGCTGGGGACGGGGGCGGAGGGTGTGAGGGGCCCACGCTTCCAGGTAAGTCCTGAGGCTTCCTTCCCTGCCAGG